CTCTGCACACGCGTGTGCAAGGGCTCAGGGTGTGTGTGTTGTGGGCAGTGGGCTCTGCACACGCGTGTGCAAGGGCTCCGGGTGTGTGTGTTGTGGGCAGTGGGCTCTGCACACGCGTGTGCAAGGGCTCCGGGTGTGTGTGTGGTGGGGAGGAGGGGGCTGTGATGGCAGCGCGGAGGGGGAGAGGAGCGGGACGGGGCTGAGGAGGGACTCGGGTTGGGCTCCCAGCTCGGGCTTGTTGTGATTTTGCCAGTTCGAGGAGCTCGTCGGTCAAAGGGCTGCGAGGCTGTTAAAGAGTGACTAATTGATAGGAAGAGGAGCATGTGATCCGGCGGACCCAGGAGCTCTTAAAGGGCGCTTTTCTCTCCTGCTGAGCTGAATTCGGGGATGGGTTATGATGCTCTGGACACTGACGCGGGCTTCAGAAGGAGCAAAAACTGTGGAGAAGGAAGGAAAACTCTGTTAGGATGCATGGAAGCCTTAAAGCAGTCGCGGTCTCCCTGGGAAAGTTACCTGTTAAAAACTTCGTATTTGCTTGCTCTCTAAATTCTGCAGGTTAGGCTTTATAAAGGCTCTGTCACAGCCCTAGAATGAAAGCAGGTACAGGTTATCCAAGGAGCTGCAGCTGGAGAAAAAACGTGGGGAATACACACTAGATTGCTGAAAAAGAGAAACCAGAAATGTTAGTGGTGCAGAGAGCCCGGTGACTGGGAAGGAATGTTATGAAATTGCTGCTGTCTGAATGGCTGGTTGGGCTTCTTAGTACCACTTGCATCTTTTCAATGTGTAGTGGCATCTCTTCACTGTGGTGGATGCAGGAAAGTTAAGTGTTTTCTGCTTCAGATATTGTTAACAGGTGACTTAGTGAAGTTGTAGTTACTGTTATTTTCTTAGTGGTGCAACATGAAATCCAGAAGCCTCAGGCTTGAAACTTGAAATCCAAGCAAAGGTCTTGATAGCAACAGTTGGGGAAAAAAACCTTGCATGGAATTGTTGAACACTAGTAATAAGACAACTTTGTCACCTTTTTCCTTTCATCTTTCCCTTTGCTCTGTGTTGGCAAATCTGCAGTTGCAGAGGGAATAAGGAAATAGCCAATAATACTGTGTGCTTTGTAAGTTGATACAATGTGAAGGAGGGTCGAGAAGTTCAGAAGTTTGCTTTGGAAAGTAGAAGCTGTTTTCCACTTTATTCTTCTAGGAATAACATGACTAAAAACCCCCTGCACTATGTACATTGCTTTGCAGCAAAACACTTGGTTTTATCTTGATGTTCCTAGGGAGAGCAGCATGTTTGGCAGAGCTGAACCTGAAAGCTACTCATGAAGATGCCATGTATAACCACACTTGGTTTTATCTTGATGTTCCTAGGGAGCATGTTTGGCAGAGCTGAACCTGAAAGCTGCTCATGAAGATGCCATGTATAACGATAATACTCCTGGTTTGTGATGAAGAAGCTCTTTTTGTTGTTTAGGAGTATTTAATTTTTTTGAAGTAATAATATCTCAAATACAATCTTACTACCAATGGCTTAAAAAAAGCAAACCCTCTTTATTACAGTTGAATAAAATCTAAAGTTATTAAAATAGTTTTCAGAACTTCAGTGACTAGTTTGGTTTTGAAAACATAAGTTTTCCAATTTGTTTGGTTTTAAATATTAGTTGAAAAGCCTTGTGGATGGATGGGGGCTTGTAAAGAGTTGAAGCTGGTGTAATGTTTACAAGATGATGAAAATTAGCACAGGCTGTGGTGTGATTATTCTGAGAGCCTGAGCTTTCAGGAGCAGGGCCTGAGTTAGGTTTGTTGGCAAGTGCTGCTTGTTCTCCTCCTGTCGTCTTAGAGTGCTGCTCTCCTGACCTGCAGTATCATCAGCTGTGCCTGGTTCTCTCCAGTCTGTAGTTTTGTCCCCGTCTCTCACCTGTCCCTAGCATGGCCTTGGAGTTATCTGCCTGGATGTATCACCCTGGCTCTAACTCAGCACAAAAAGCTGCAATCAAGACACATTTTCCTTTTCCTTGTAGTGTTGAGGGACCCTGTGTGATACACATTCCCCAGGTGATGTAAGGCAGTGGCCCAGCAGGTTTGGCTTTTGTGAGTCAGGGTCAGCATCTTCTATCACCAACTTGTCCTGCAAATAATTTGTCTCCATGTCACTTTTCCTTTTGTTAAAGGAACAGGAATTTTCTGCAGTGATGATCCCTTCACTCTTTCTGCATCAGGATTCATGTTCATCTCTAGGAAGTGGTGAGGGGAGGTCACAATGGGGGTGACATAAGTACACTGACTTGGTACATGACTTCTACATGTCTATGTACAGGTTCATTAACAAATAAGTCAGTTTTCACTAGAACGTTTTTCACAAGCTGCTCTGGCACTCATGTTGTCTCCAGGCCTGAAGTTACTCTCCTGTTGTGTGGTTTTCACACATTGCGTAGTGAATAATCTGAGCTCTTAAGGTGCTTTGAAAGAATATTTCCAATAGTCTCATGAATAATTATATTTGACATATTTAAAGAGAATTTGCAGTTCTGCTGAAATAGAGGAATTATTTTAAAATAAGTTTGTTCAGCCAATTTGGGGGGGAAAAAAAGTCAGTGGTTGATTGTGGAGCAATATAGATACTTGTTAATAGCTTGGAAGAGTCTCTCCACTTCTCCAATTCACCTGGAATTGATCAAGGTGCAGTTGAAGTTCTGGCAGACTTCAGGACAGGACTAAGAGGCTGCCAGCTGGTTTTGTTAACAATGTTCCATAAATGCTTGAGGTAGAACATATGCATCCTAAGTTTCTGAGCGTGTTCCTTGATCTTCAAGAAAGACAGGTTAAACTCTTGGAGTTCTTTTCCCCTGTTGTTTGTTGAACACTTTCCTGGAGTTCTGCCTCTTTGCAGTTATGGATTGAGTTGTGTCTATGAGCTGGTCAAGCTTTGTAGCTTTCTGCTAAAGAAACCCAACTTCACCCTTTCTGATAGTCCCAGCTGTACCTTCTTTCAAGGCAGCACACATTGTCCCTCTACTAATAACTTATTTGTCACCAGAAGTTGTGAGGCTTTGGAGTGAGACTTTCAGCTTTCACTTTTGGCCTTCAAAGCAAGTGAACTTATCACGAGATAGTTTGGCACCAAAACGTTTCTTCCTCGGGAGGAAAACCCGGTTGGGAGAGGGTTTTGCTGCCATTGCATCTAAGATAAAATAAACAAAACCAAACCCCACCACAAAACAGCCATGAAATGGCACGCTTAGATCTCCCTTCCCCCCTCCAGATGTTATGCAATGAGGATCCTGATGCCCGCACATCCCGGGCAGGGGGTTGTTCCCAGGGATTTCTGTGGTAAAGTGAAGTTCCAGGTGTTGACTGCAGCTCCTGGGTGTTACATGATAGTGAGGTTGGGAGCATGTCTGAACTTGTCTGCTCTCAGTCTACCTACAGAAGAAACTCCCTCTGAAAACCCTTTGTGCTTTAAAAAAATGGGGATTGTTTAGGTCAGAGTTGATGCTGAATGAGTCTGTGCTGAAATACCTTCTTACAGTCTTCCTGTGGCTGGATAAGTGGGATCAGAGCAGAGTGGACTTTCCAAGAACACTTGGAAAACAAAAATTCCCAAGTTTCAGTCTGGCCCTGACTCATCATCAACAATGTGGATTAGTGTAAATGTAAAAAGAGGAGCACACTTTGCACACATTATTTTTTTCTTGACTCTCAGTTAAGGCTTATTTCATAAAAAGTCATCAAATTCCTCTAAAGCTGGTATGGGGTTGTATTGTGACAAAGAAAAATACTTCATTTTTTTACACTGGAGAGTAACAACTTTGAGGGTGAGAAGCTGCAGTGTGAGGCTGTGGGAAAGTGAATTAATTAGATTTGAAGTAGCTGGTGTTGCTGGATTTAAAAATCTGTATTCCAGTATAGTTGTGGAGAGATTCCTAAATTGGAAGACTTAATGCATGTATATTTCAGTAATTTACATTTAAGATTTCTTTACATTCTCTTTCTAGCTTTTATTTAGAAAGCTGAATTTTTATTAGTCTAGTAGGTGTGATGTTCAATTGAAATGTGTCAGATAATGAAGGTTTCCATTGTGTCTGTAGGGGAAAAAAGTTTTATTGTTGCAAAGCCTAACCTTTTTTGATCTAATTTTCTGGTGAGTCTTTTTAAGGTCATTATTTGTAAGGTAGTCAGATCTCTTCTGGAGGACCTAATTTTTTTTTTTCGTATGCCTTGAAGAGTTTATAGCTGTATCATGGGTTAATTAGTGCACTGAAGATATTTAGCATGAAAACAGTGATAAATTTATCTCTAAAAACACTCACCAAAATCTGCTGTAAAACCTCACTATATTGTGCAAGATGTAGGGCATTTCTGTTTCAGTGAGGGGAGCCAAGGTGAGGTGGGGATTAGGTCATGGTGATATTGATTTTTACATTAGAAAGCTGAAATTGTTGAGCGCAGCCAGGGAGATGTATGTAACATTTTTGTGCAAGAGTTTTATTGGTCTTGGAGAACAGACAATATTGGCTTTTAACAAAATTAAAATGGCCATATAAATGCATGTTTCTGTCTCTGTGGGTGGTCTGTTTAAATTCCTTATATCAAACGAAAGCTCTGTATGGCCCAGAAGTAGATGTGCTTGACTGGGAGTCTTAAGGACGTGTTTTTTGTTTCTTTTGCTCTGTGTGATTTTTGCTTTCTAGCAAAGATGTTAGGATGCTGCTTTAAGTAAAACTCAGATCTGTGGATGAAAGCATGTCTAGTTACACTTGATTTTAGTGCTGGAGTATAGTATTCTTCATCTATTGATGAAGAATATTTAGGTAAAATATATGGCAAGGCAAGGGGGAATGGATTAAAACTGGAAGAAAGGAGGTTGAGGTTGGACATGAGGAGGGAATTCTTTGGTGTGAGGGTGGTGAGACCCTGGCCCAGGTTGCCCAGGGAAGCTGTGGCTGCCCCATCCCTGGCAGTGTTGAAGGGCAGGTTGGATGGGGCTTGGAGCAACCTAGTCTGATGGGAGGTGTCCCTGCCCATGCAGGGGGTGGATCTAGATGATCTTTGAGTTCCTTTCCAGCCCAAACCATTCCATGATCCTATGAACATACAGAATCGAACATGAGTCAAATTAAGAGTCAAACATGAGTCAAATTAACTCTCACACATGATGCATTTCCCTCATTAGGTGACACTTCTACTGCTGGTCTTGATTTTTAACCTTGCAGGTATTTGCAGAACTGCCATTTTCATGCACATGTCCTCAGTTCACAGATCTCTGGAATGCTTTCCAGAAGCAGCTCTCCAGGTGTGCCTCAGGAAGAACTTGGGTTTGAAGTGCTCCTTCCCAGGTTACCACGTGCTGGCCAGAGGGTAGTACCAATGTGTGGGCAGGCTCCTTACCTTGCTGTCCTCAGCTTTCCCACACCCACTGCATTCAGAGGGTTTGCTGGTACAATATACCCTCTGTCATCCTTAGCTATGGTGTTTTCCCAGTGTTCAAATGGTTGTGGGTTGTATTTCAAAGATCCATGGAAAAAGCATAAACACAAATCAAATTCAAGGACATGCAAAGTTACACTGTGCAGCTGTGAAGTTTTTAGGCATTACCTGCCAGGATATGAGTATTGAGGTGGAATGTGTGGCCTTAGTTGCTCCTGCACTATAAAACCTTTCTGTGATTATATCAAAAGCCAATGTTACTGGTTTCACGATGGCTCTTTGATTAGTTGTAGTGAACCCCCCTACCAAGCCATTAAAATACCTGCACTTTTATTCCAGCCCTTACTTAAAGACCAGCAACCTCCCAGTAATTAATTTATTTCTGAAATAAAAACTCTGGTTTTGTTATTCTTTAGTTGCAACTATTCTCTCTTCTGTTATTGATCAAATACTTCTGATCAAAGACCTGATAAGGTGTTAGTTTTGTATTTGTTGTGGGGGAAAAAGTATCTTCTTGTCTGGTCTTATATAAAGAACTCTAGTTTTAATTTGGCAATCCAGACTGAAGAGTGACCAATTGAATTTGGTTTCCTCAGTGGTTTGAAGGCAGTGGTTTTGTTGATGTCCAGTAAACTAATCAGCTGCTATCAGAGAACTTAATCTGATTTTCAATAGATGTTCTGTCTTGCTGCATTTACTGAGCTTTCCTCCTTTTCTCCACTTTTGAGAAGTCAAAGGAAGGCAGGATAAAGCTACAAATGGTAGGATTTTCTTTTTTTTCCTGAACTAATGAGTACAAACTTCATGTTCATGTTGGCTTTGTTGTTGGATTTGCCACAGAGATGATGATGCCATTGTGAGTGGGGAGTTGTGGTGTGTTCTTTATCTTAGAGGAGTTCATGAGTCCTTGCTGTTCCTGTCTGCTTCTTGTCTCAGCCTGTGGGATTCCATGACTTCCCTATTGCTAATCCACATTCAGATAAATCTGAGGAAAACTTCCCTGCTGCTCTGGGTAAATTTTGAGCTTAGTTTTGATGCCCCTTTCCTTTTAAGAGGGCAACGAGAGGGAATCCTCATGTCACGGAGGAGGCAGGAAACCTGAGACCTGATCTTTCCAGGCAATCCTCCTTCCTTGGAAACTTCTTTGGCTTGGTTCAGTCCTCATCCAGGCATCTGTTAGGGAAGTGATAGCAGTGGGTGGCAAGTTGTGCTGCTTTGTTTCTCTTCTTCCTAGATGGGCTGATAAAATGATTTTGTATTCTTACATGTCCCAGCACATAAAAATTGTTATAAGTGATCTAGCTCTTAATGTGACCAGTTATTATTATTTGTGGGTGGTGACCAGTTAACTGGATGTAGTGAGAATGGTGAAGCACTTGATGTAAAATATGGGTTTTGATAAAGTTAAGCAGGAGGGAAGATAAGGATTTAAACTCGATGTCATTCTTACTGAAAAACATGCTGAACTGCTGTCCTTATGGGTATAGAAGACACAGCAGAAACAGGTCTAGCACTTCTTGATGCCAGGACAGACTGGTCATCTCAGCCCTATGCCTAGAGGGTCATTCCTGCCCTGTGGCTGGAGAGCTGAAAATGGCTTTTAAACTGTTAAATCTGTTGTGGGTAACTTAAAGCACAGTGGATGTAGTCTTGGCACACACAAACTGTTGTAGACTGTTGCATCCCTGATGCCCACAACTATTTCCTGATGCTTCTAAAAATAGCAAAATAATAGAATTAAACAATTAAAAAAATCTTCTCTTGGGCAGCTTTTATCTAGTGCATTAAAAAAACCCAAACGCCACCTCCTGAATAACGCAAATATTTGACCTGATTATTTTGAATTAAATCTAGCCTTTAAATATATTGCATTTTTAACTATGGAACTTACTATAATTGTCCTATGCCCCAAGTTAGAAAACATTTAAAAATTGGGTGCGTGTGAAATGGAAATGTAAGCAGACAACTGTAGCAGAAGGAATTGGGTACAATATAATTTTAGTCCAGCCAGGACTGCCTTACATGCCTGAACTTGTTCTCGGACAGTTTCTGTAGCTTAATCCCCCTTTCCTTTAATGCAGACAATTACAGATTGGTGGCATAGTTTACTCTGAGGAATTAGCAATTACAGAATCTTTTTGTGTACTGGCAGCTCTTGATTACTTTCCACAGGGAAGAGCTCTTGCCTGTTTTCAGTGGCAGCAAGTAGAGAGCAGCTCCTGCTGTGACATTCTCAAAATATTTTACTCTGCACTTAAAGCTCCCGACCACCTGCTTAGGAAGGGTTCAGCTGCTGGTGGTGCATGCGTGGACTTGTGCTTACAAGGTCCAGAGCTCAGGCAAGTGCAGGCACCACTGTAAGGGTTAAAACTGCTGGTGTGTGTTTGTACATCAAGACCTGCTAAAGGAAAGTGATTTCCTTTAGTGGTTTGGGGTGCACTGAAAATGCTGTGCCTCTTCTGTGGCCTCAGTTTCTTCCCTCCTGCTGCCCCTGAAGAGTGTGTGGTGTTGCTTCTGGGCACCACAGGTTTCTGTTGTCTTCCTGGAACGTCCCACTTGTTTTTGGCACTGGCTTGTTTTCAGCCAAGACAATTAAATGTTTTTCTGTGGTTTCATGTGAGAAAATACATGAGCTTTGAATTAGTCAGCTCTTTCCCGCCTCCTTCAGATGATCAGCTTAAAGCTTTTAACTACCCTCAGTGGTTCTTTTAACGTCTTCTAAGGTAGTTTCCCAACCTCATCATTTAGTGGAAGAAGTGAAGAATGAAGATAACTAATAGACAAATACTGCCTTCTGAACTTGCCTATTGAAAGCTATTCCCTGATTAAAATTTCAGTTCTTCAAAACATCTTGAGACTTTTCAATTAATTGCCATGTGTCAGATCTACTGAAAATATTTGAATTGAAAACTCCAGGTGGAAGTGCTTCCCTGTGGTACAATGAGTACATCTTTCCCCTCATCCCTTTCAGCTTCCTCTAAGGCTTTGAGTGACTTTCTACCTCACTAGCAGAGCTGTTTGAGATGTCCTAGCCCATGGTGTTAGCAACATAAGTCCCCAATATTAAATGCAAATAAAATCCAAAGAAGATACTAGAAACTGAGACAAAAAGAGTGGACTTTGTTTGGATGGCCTCCATAGACCTTTTTAGTCTCTCCCACCTGTATCTTGTAGAGATGTTCTATTATTTAGGAGTGAGAAATTACCCATCTGTTGCACTATTCCTTTTGCACATTTATTTCTGGTTTTAACAATAGGCACCTTATGGGATGTTGTGGTGCCTGGTTACACGCTGCATTTGGTGGACAAGAGAAAGGTCTGTAAAGGCTGAGAATTCAGTTACAGAGTCCAAGGGGTTCTAGGGACCATATTATGTTCTTGGAATTTTATTGTACTTTTATCTCACTGCTCAGTTTTTGCACTGTTTCCAGGAGAATAACACCTGAGTTGCCTTTCTTGTGGCAAAATATTGCACCAGATGCGGGTGCTGAGGACATGCAAAGGAACATAAATTACACCTTGGGTACTTGCCTGGCTTTTCCCTTCTTCCACAGAAGGGAGAGAAATGTAACTTGGTTATTTGCTTTATTACAGTAGCTCTGCACAACAAAGTGACCCAGTCGATTTGTCAAAGTGCTTTCTACTTGACTTAATGTCCTCTACCTACTGTCTGTGTATGATCTAAGGGCTGCATCATGTGTGAAATTCTAAATGGAAGCCTGAGAAGCCTTCGAGCCTTTGCTTTTTCTGACAGCCCAGGATCATCAGGGTGCTGGGAACTTTGGTAGCTGATGGTAGGTGGGTGGGGTGGCTGTAGGAACGGGCAGGAGCTGCTAAGAGCAAAACTTGAATGCTGGATTTTGAGCTTCCAACTGTCATTCTTTTACTCCCAAAAAATCTATCTATAAAATGCAAACATTTTTACTTTCATCTTTGTTCGAAGAGTTTGACTCTGAAAACTTACAGATGACAGAATTAAAATTAAGTTGTTGCTTTCTACTCTAAACGTGATTTTTAGGATGGGATTCTGTGTCGCCTCATACATTAGACAACCTGCACGTTATGAGGGAATTTTTTTTTTTCATTTCGAGTTCAGTTCTTTAGGCTGCTGGATGGAAAACAAAAACCAAAATACTGTTGGTTGTGTCAGCCGTGCAAGTGTGCAGGTGGGAGAGGTGTGTGGGAGGTTACAGCTGCTGGAGGGTAGACGATTCGTCCCAGGACTTTAATGTCCCTTGTCTCTTATGTTAGAACGACCTGTTTGTGTATTGCTCTCCTTCCAAGGTGATTAACTTCTAGATGTTGAAAGAATAGTAAGTTTTATTGGTAACAGAAGGATTAGGTACGGTGCATGTGCCCTTCTTTGCACAGGGCTGCAGTTAGAAGCCTCACTGCTTCGATTTCTTCACTCTCCCATAAAAATGATCTGATTCAATTAATAGAAAAAACCCAAATTACCTGTATATTGCTTGTTGTTTGCACAACAGTCAGGCTGTATAAGGGGCCCTCTCGTTTGTGAATTAATTTGGAAGAGTTTATTTTATTTTTGAATACTGCAATGGTGACCTAGTTAATTGGGAGTAATTACTATCTAAATATATTGGTTTAACATAACAAAAGGCTGTCTGGAAAAAAGCAGGGAAGGGAAAGAATGGCTCAAGATAAACCAGCTCTTCGCAATTGCTTAAGAGTTGTTAAGGGACATCTCCAGAGCTATTAGTAGAGAAGGTTTTAACTTCACTATTGTAATTTAGCTCTTGAGGCTTTGGAACAAAGCAGCAGAGCAGAAGGACTGATCTGGAAAGGAACACTTTCTTTAGGTCTGCAGATAGAAAGCACTTGACACTTAAAAGAGCCATGGGATGCCCTTGGAGAGGAAGGAGTGGGATACCCATAGTTAGACTGGATTTGGTTCATAATAGGGAGCTATAACATTTACTTGCTGCCTTTCCTCTTTTCAGATTCTTGCTCTTAGGGCTGAAATCGAGCACTGTGTTCATTTTCAGGAGGCACCCCAGGTCGCTGGGGTGACCTGTCATTGCAGGCTGCTCCAAGGAGTTTGAGCCTAAACCCTGTCAGACCTGCTCTGTGAGTAGGGCAGAACTATGTAGTGTTGCAGTCCAGGACTGCTCTAAAACTGGAAGAATTGCTTAATTTAGGAAAGGTAAGGAGGGCCTGACACCTGAAGGGCTGTTTTAAGAAAGAGATGGATGGCCACCCCTGTAATTAGGAGAAATCAGTCATGTAAATTATACGAGCTGGATTTGGCATGCTCGCCTCCAAGTTGTTTGGCTTATAGTAGTAATTTATCTTGTATGGCAGAGAGCAAAGGGGTAGTGTGGTGCAAGTCACACCTAAGAAGAGTAAAATAAAGCAGACATGGATGCGTAGAGAAGCCTGGAGAAGATAACCCCTTCCTCTCACAGGGCTGACTCTTCATTCCTCTCCCTGAAATATCTGCAGTTGCTCCACAAGGGTAAAGAACTAAAAACCAACTATAATGAAAGAGACTGTGGGCCAGTTTATCAGTGGTGCCCTGTGATAGCACATGGGGCAATGGTCAAAAACTGGAACACGGGAAGTTCCAACTCAACATGAGGAAAAACTTCTTGACTGTGAGGGTGATGGAGCCCTGGGACAGGCTGCCCAGAGAGGTTGTGGAGTCTCCTTCTCTGGAGACTTTCAAGAGCTGTCTGTGTGACCTGCCTTGGGGGCTCCTGCTCTGGCAGAAGGGGTTGGACTTACGATCTCCAGAAGTCCCTCCCAACCCTTAACGTTCTGTGATTGTAGGATATTAAAAAGGAGACAAATTCCAGAGCCTTGAGTTTGTTTGACCTGGAAGCCATCTTTCATGAATGCTGTCTTTAGCTTCTAAACTCCATTGATGTTGTGCCTGCAGCAGAAAGGCAGAGCAGCAAGGTGCACAACTTTTCCAAAAGAACCTGCCAATAATCAGCTTGCAAATCCTTTGCCTCTAAATGGTGCTTGTTTTCCCCAGGCTAAGTCCTGCTGCATTCAGATGGGGAGTTGGGGATACTGGGGGTAGGGAAGGGGAAACACTGTCTGTTGGAAGGAGTGGGAACAGCTATCTGAGAGGCTGCTGGCTTTGCTGGTTGTGTAAGCAGAGAGCATGACTAAAATGTGAGCTCTGTGGGTATCTCTTGCAGCAGAGCGGTGCCATACGGCCTCTCTGTGGCTATCTCTGAGGGTTGTCTGTGTCAAAGAACATGAACTCAAGACAGATTTGCTTTGTCATCCTGACTTTGGCCCTTGGCACTTTCAATTTCTCTTTAGTTTCTGGAAGCTTCTTTTTAATTCTCCAGCAGGGAGAGGTCACAATGCATCTAACATGCAAAAGGTCTAGCCCCAAACAAAACCCACCACACACGGATCAAAAGGGTGGGAGTGAGAGGGTGGGTTTGTGAATATCTGATCACAAAAGGGTGGCAAATCTGTTTTTCAGCATGTGTTGTTCTGTAGTTAGTTTTTAACTAAGTGCTGCAGAGGACTGGCGTTGTTTCCCAATGGCAAAGCAAGCAATGAAATATGACACAGGGAGGGGAAGAGGGTTGGCAGAGGGCCTGTGTGCACAAATAGCCCACTACCTTTTGAAGCATATTTACAGCAGAGCAAACAAAAAACAGCACAGGCAACCTTACCCGGAGTTGCAATAGAAATCTTCCCCTTGGAACTTTTACTTTTTCCTCTCCATGTCAATAAAATGTCATTTCTACTGATTACAGAAGCATAGCTCACAAGATACTGTGATGTGTCTGAAAACGTATTTACCCAGTTGTGGATTAAGAAGAGAGTGAGCTGTGTTGCTGTCTTTTGAAGCTCTTAGAATACCTTTTTGCCTTGGATTGCTGCACTGCAGGAAGAAATCCCCATGAAAACTAAACTCTAGATCATAGTGTTAGCTGGTTCAGTGAACAGGAGTCTCTTGGCACAGCCCTGTTGTGAGTTATGTAAATCTTGTGCAGGGTATAAGCAACAGGCGGTGGGTGACGTAAAACTGAGCATTTGTCTCTATTTATTGGCTAATGTGACATGCAACCTTCCTGTAGCATTTGACTGAGCTGGCTGTATTAAATATAGCCCTGACACTCCTAAGTAGAAAATGCCTCAAGCTGAATTCATTGTTCTAAATGTGACAGTCTTACAGGGTGGCTCTTCTGTCTCCCCTTCATGTCAAAGTCCATCCCGTGCTGATGGTGAAAGGTCTCTCTGTAATCATCCTCTGTGTGCCGAGTTTGCTGATCAATAGTGGTGGTGCAGGACATTCCTCCAGTGCCTCCTAGGGCAGTGGCTGTGCTCAGGGAGGCTAAGCAGGGTGGCAGCAGCTCCTGCCTTTAGCACAGTGATTATCTGGTGTCAATGTGATGGATTACCAAACTGATACTTCTACTCCTGGCCTCTCCCACCTGCCCCATTGTGGGGTGCTGGCAGACCTGCTTCATGCTGCTATTACCCCATTGACCTAAGCCCCAGTGCTGTTGGGTCCTACATTTTGAGTCCTTTGTTTTCTGTTACTTCTCCCATGCAGTGCTGATTTTTATTCAGAATGGCTGATTTCTTTCCCTTGAACACTGTAGGAATTGAACAGGAGGTAGTTTCTTTGCTCACCATTCTGAGCCTCCTTCCAGCTGGCAACCAGTCCAAAAATCCCTATGTTTGCTCTTTCCCAGGGTCATGCTGAAAATGTTTCTCTTGCTTTCACCTTGGTTTTCTGGCTTTGATTGAGACACATGACACTCTACCACACAATACAAACCCTCAATATATCCTACTACCTGTAGAGTGCAGCTTCTGACCAGCCTTCTGCATGGCTTTCTTTTAGGTGGAGGTTCCCAGTTCTTCAAGAGATGTTTTTTTTGTTTTTTCTTCTATTGTGCTCAAAAACCCAACACAGATTTTTCTGGTCATGAATAAAAATGGCAGTTATGCTGATGGCATTTGGGGAGATTTTACTCATCTCCATTCTCACAGCACCTATTCACAACATTTAAATGAGGGCCACAACCTTAGACATGTGTAAACAGAGGAATTACATGACTTGCCAAACACTTCCACGATATACTATTAAGTTATTATGTAACAGCAGCTAAGACTTATGAATCCTCTTCCTGTTCAACTGCTCCTCCTTTTAAATTAATTATCATATGAGTCTCAGCTACACCACGACTTGAAAATCAATAGAATTTGTGGCTTTCTGAACATTCTTAATATATCACAGACTTCCACTGTCATTTGTCTTTATTCAGTAAAACTTTTGACTCAAATAGCTTTTAAGTTCCTTTGAGCTGTGTCTCTCCAGAGCTGAGCAGGCATTTATGATTAATAAATAATCTTAGAGTCCTGATGGCTCATACACGACCATATGTTTCAAAAGTAGCAAAGCTTGAGTTGTTATCTGTAAGTTATCTGAGTTATTGTAAGAGTGTTATTTGGGTTTTGTTCATCTTGTCCTTCTTTTGAACCTCTTGTGCCAAAATGGAGAGGTTCAGTCCTTTTGAAATTAGTTCAGGAATCAAGGCTGGTATAAGGAAATGTCCCTGTTCACGTGCTGCTCTGTAGCCCTTCTCTCAGTTTCTCCTGAACTCTTTGGAAAATTTCATAAAGAATTAATGGGCTAGAGGTCTCCAACACTAAATTCCAAGATTTCCAGAGAAGAGAAAAAATGGAGTAGAAAAGTAGTCTAAAATAGCCTTCCTGGCAAGGAAAGTGCTGTATTTTGAGCTCTTGGAGTTTCCATGTGTGATAAAAGCTTAAAAAGATGTGAGACTAATACAGTCTGGATAATTTTTGCTCCACTGTTTAGGGTGACACATGTAAAATGAAATAGGGGCCTGACCCACCTGTACTTCAGGTTGTTAATCTGCTGTTTTGCTTTCTAGGAATCTACAAGCTGCCATTGGAGCATACTATGATTTTGAGAGCCCAAATATCAATGTACCATCCATGTCCTTTGTTGAAGATGTCACCATAGGTGAAGGAGAGTCTATCCCTCCTGATACCCAGTTTACAAAAACATGGAGGATACAAAACACAGGTAAGACTTTGTAGACTGTAACAAATCCCACACAGTGTGAGTTATGTGACAGGTCTGATGGAGGAGTCAGGCAGGAGGTACTTCAATGGAAGTAGTTAGATATGAACATAAATTAAAAATACTTAGCTGGTCATCTTTCTGATCACTTCATGCAAACAAATTGAATAAGTTTTTAAGTCAATTAAGAGATTTTTTTTAATCTCTAAGCTTTTCAGTTCAGGACCGGGCTGTATATTATAGAATTATAGAATGGTGAAGATTGGAAGGGACCTTACAGATCATCAGGTTCCACCATCCCTGCTATGAGCAGGGATACCTCCCACCAGATCAGGCTGCACAAAAGCTTATCCAATCTGGCCTTGAATACCTCCAGGGAGGGGGCAGCCACAAGTTACCTGGGCAACCTGTTCCAGTGCCCTTCCTATTACCATTACCCTTCATCACACCATTTCTGTGACCATCCCTGTTGTTGGGTCCTTTGGCTCTCTGCAGAGCTGCCTCTGGAAGCAGTGATACCATGAACTAAGAAGAGGCAGTGATGCCAGAGTAACATGGCAGGGGTACCCTTTGCTTTTGAACACACCTTTGACAGAATGAATTGCTTTTTCATGCTTCGAGAGGATGTGAGGCTGGAGAGACCACATCCCACTATGAAATAAATCAAAACAGTGACTGTAATCCAGGAAGTGAGACTGGGCAAAATACATTCTCAGGGCTTGATCTGGTGGGATGTAGTCAGAGAGGAAAATAAGATCCACAGATGCAAAGGGAATAACTTGTCTTAAAGTGTTGCAATGACAGGATGTCACATGAATGTTTAAGCTGTGTGTCTGAACTTAATTGACCTGCTTGCACTTTTGTGAGGAAGAATGATAGCACAACAAGGTACAATATCATGAATCATCATGAGTAAAGTTCTGCTGTGTTGGTGTTGCTCCTAAATAACTGCAGGACTCAATTGCTGTACAGATCTGTGCTGAATAACAAAGTATAACAGATTAAAATTATGCTAAAATCTGGGAGTATTTTATGAGGACATGAGAGTGAGAAGGAGGGTGGGTGTTTAAGAACACTAATTTATAGAGCCTGCATTCTAGGGAAAGGGCTTAATTATGTCAGTTGACTTTTTCTGCCTCCATTTGTTTGACTTAGCACAATGGAAGGGTGGCATGTGTAACTTGCTTCAATTCCAGCAATGTGAAAAATTGGTGATTTTTTTTTTTTTTATAACAGTCTCAAGTACAGGTCTTACAAATGTAGTAAGTTTCACAGCCCTTGTTTCTCCAGTATTAGTTATCTTAATTTGTGTGATGTACTCTCTGGCATGCAAATTCAGCCTTAACACCCTACTTCAAGCAACATTTCATTGTTCTTGGAATGTTTGACCTGATGAAATCCATGGGCCTTCTAAAATGAGGAATGTAGGTTCATCTTTACTTAAATTCCTGGCAAGGCCAACATTTGGTTTCTGTGTGTGATAAGGCCTGACTTGTTAACATGTACGGCTGTACTGCAGTGGTGCTGGAGGCCACATCTTGTTCCAACCCTGCTGTTGAGGCATGTTTTAGTTAAATGCACCTTCACACACTGTTATGACTGTGCAGTTTAAGGAGGACTGTAGCATTTTAAAACCACTTTAAGGTTTAATTAAGGTATGATATCAAAGGACTGTAGTGTTTCCAGATAGTATTTGCTTGTTAGGTAGATAACTGAAGCAAAGCCAAGGTTTAACAGCTCGACAGGAAGCCTTAATTAAATGACTGCAGTTCTAGAACACAAAATACCTCAGGCATGTGTCACCAAACCATTTAGTGTCTGAGTGTATGACAGCAGAGCTCAGACATTGTCAGTTTTAAGTGTGCAAGCAGTCAGCTAGCTTCAGTCAGACTTTCATATGTATTCTTAAAAACTTAACACCCTGCTCTGGTACCTTCCAGGACTGTGATTGGTTAGTATGCCAGAAGTCCAGTTTGTATAGTAGAACCATCGCTGAAAGAGCATCAGGGTTTAACAGACTTACTTCCTCTTCCAACTCTGCCTCCAGTTGCTGCTGGCTCTGCAGGAGAGATACTACAATTTATCATCTCCTGAGAGATGAGTGTACTGAAATAGAATGACATAATCGTCATTTCATTTTATGGGGCTTATCAGTTGCAGCGTTCTAGGCACCTTGCAAGCCTAAAGCCATTAAACCTGATAAAAATCACATAAATTATTTAAACTGAACCATGTTGCTGGGCTGCCAGCCTTTTCAGATGAGACTTCAAACCCAACTCCCACACGCCCTAGTCTGAGGTCAGCTAGTCACTCAGCTCCTCTTTCAGAGACCTCCCTGTCTCAGCAGTGTTTCCAGCTCCAGTGTTACATGTCCACCTGTAGTTATTCTCATTGCGTTTTCCCTGCTGGATTGTGAATTCCAGAAATAAGGACTTGACTAGAAAACTAATCCTTGCCAATGTCTTCACTGAAGTATCCACAGGGATTAAATTAGCAGGCAAGCTGTTGCAAAGGATGCTCTTTGGGGTAACCCAAGGTCAGATCAGCTCATCTCAGGCTACAGATAGTGGTTCCAAGCTTCTTGGTGGTTCAGACTTTCCTTGGCTGTTTCCACTGACCTCAACCAGGCAGAAGATGTTCTTAAAAGTCATTGTCTTTGTCATGTCACGTTACAGGGGAAGAACCAAGAGAAAGTTCTTCTAAACTGCTTTTTCACTAGTCCCAAAAGCACTTTGTCTGCCCCTGTGCTTGTTATCTTTGGTGGGGATGCCTGTGCTTGCACACAGCAACTGTTTTCTGTATCTCTCCAGCCTGCCAGGTCACGCTGTCAGTCCCAGTATCAACACTGATGTCCACAAATAAATCATGTGTTCATCCCCTCTACCTTTGCACAAGGCTGAGAGAAGGGTTGGTGCAAGAAGGGAAATAAATCCATTTAGAAAATAGGACCAGCTCTTCAGTTCAAACTGTTAGTTCCTCCTGAGACTAATGAGCTTAAAAAAGAATGAGTCCTTGCATTAAAATCCAGCAGTTTGTGTTATTAACATGTATTTTAATGTCACAGGGCTTAGGAGCTACGTGGGGGGGCAGAAAGAAATGAGGTGGGGGGAACCCACCTAGGTCTGACCTTACTTTTGTCTCTAGTGTTGGTGAAATATGTCAGTTATGTTGATTATTTTTTTTTTTTTGGCAGCTGTTTACACTGTGACTTTGAGGTTTTTTCTGTGCAAAGCAGGCCTAGAGATTATTCAAACAGAAATATAAATTGTCCTGCTGGTCTGAGAACGCACCAGTTAAGCCTTGTCTGAAAATGCATTCTTCAGCAACCATTCCTGCCTGTGCTCTGTGTATCTTGGTCTTCCTTTGACTGCCCAACAATCGTCCAACTGTTTTAATAAGCATGTTTCACTCATCCTTACACAGACACAAAAGGTTTTCCTGGTGCACTGTCAGTAATTCTTTCTTCTGTGTATTCCCAGGGACGGAGGCGTGGCCCCCAGGGGTTTGTCTGAAGTATGTTGGGGGAGACCAGTTTGGCCACGTAAACATGGTGATGGTCAGGTCCCTGGAGCCCCAGGAGATTGCAGATGTCAGTGTTCAGATGTGCAGCCCCTTTCAGGAATGTATCAGGGACAGTGGAGAATGTGCACTGCCACGGGACTCTACTACGGAGGTGAGTGATCCCTTCCCACCACTCCAGGCTCCTCTTTGTGATATTCCCACCATGGAAAAAATGGGTGCTTGTGGCAGACTCTCCTCCTTAACCCAAGGGTGAACGTCTGCCAGCTCAGAGACTAAATGTAGAAAATGGAGTGGAGAAAACATCAAGGGAGCTGCTGCTTTGTTGTCTTGTTCAGCACAAAGTGTTTTCTAAACACTGGAACAAATGGCAGATTACAGAAAGCTCCTAAAAACAAAGGGACTTGCAGGGTGCTCCAGCAGACTCCTTCCCAGTTGTTTCTTGTCAGGGTTTTCCAAGTTTTGCAGGGCTGAGCATTGTGAGCTGCATATGGGTATAAAATCTATGGAGGTGGCAAAAAACTCATGTGAGAAGTTTAGTTCAGGCCCAGGTGTTAGTAGTATAACTCAATGCATCACCTGTGAACCATATTTCTGTGCTTAAAACCTACTTTTTGATGATTCACCTTGTGCCTCAGCCTGAGACACCAACATCTTCATTCCCTGGGAGCCCTTCAGAGGCGTTTAGCCAGCTGCAGTTGATCCTGAGAACATCTTGGTAGCTGCTCTGGCACTTCGGAGTGTCTCAAGTCACACAGGTCTGAGCAGAGGCCTCAGCATTCCGAATCAAAAATAACTCTGTGCTCAGAAGCACAAGGGCTTTAGCAGAATTGTTGGGAAATGTGCAACTCCTGGGTGTCAGGAGGAGATTTAACTTGTTGCAGAAAGGGCAACTTAAAAATGGCTTTGGCTACTGAGCTTTGAGTCACAGCTGCACAGGTTGGTGCTAGATTATCTTTAAGGTTCCTTCCAACTCAACAAATTCTATCATTCTGCGCCCTTCCCCTGCCTTATAATGAATGGTTTTGATGCTAATTCCCCCGCGGAGGTCACCCCCAGCAGCTGTGGGGCCTGCCAGCAGCCGGGGCTGTCCCTCTGGTTTGTCACATCGCCCTGGGGCCAGCGGGACCTGCAGAGGGCGACCTAGAGCCGCTGAGGGAGGCGCAGCCCGGACCGGGGGGTGGTGGAGCCTTAAAGGGGTGTTTCATGGGGGGCGTCCCAGCCCTGGCAGGGTGCTGGGGGGCCTGGAGCATGCCGTATTTTTGTAAGGTAAAATCCCACCGCCTTTAATTGTGCATGTAGAATGCAAACTGATGAGCCCAGCCCCGTTAAAGCTGGGGAGGGGTGGAAGGAGAGGAATATAAATGTGTAAAACCGAACAGAAAGGACCTGTCTCCTCCCCCAGGCCAGCAGTGGCAGCACAAAATAGCCCCTTCTAGGTTAACACTTGGCTGCAGGAAACCTGTAAGCCAGTTGGATGTGACAGGAGGTGCTGTTATTAGATCTGCTGGGGTGAGATAAGGTGGTGCTGTGCTGCTTTTCATTCTCTATCTCTGTGCAGCAAAACAAAACTGGAGCACTTTTAATGGAGAGGTGAGGGTGGGAGGCAATAAAACTGAATTTGGATACATACCAAGAAATGTGTTTATTTAAATAGGCTATAATGTTTGCATGAAGTGCAACAGTAACAGTAGGTAAAGCAACAATCTTATCTATGTACAAGAGGCAGACATGCATTAGGTAAGAACTGTAAATATGTTTCATACTCTAACCAGTAGCTTGTGAATTCCTGTAGTAGTTGACCAGGCCTGGGTATCTTACCCACCTGCTCTTGAGTGTTTTGGAACTGAAATGGAGATACTTTTGCAGCGAGTTGTCATAAACGTTAATTACCTTCTAAGTCACCCTTTTGTTGTTTTAGTTTAATAGTCAAACCTTTCAAAGCTAAACAAAAATCGTTGCTTTTTCCTTGCTGTCAGGGTAGAAGCTTTGTTGGTGGTATCTCCTGTCTCTGTCTTGCCTTGGATAAAGTTACTGAAGATTTTCTTTTTTCAGTGCATCCTGTTGTTAACCTGAAGTGTGGAGCTTCAGGTTGTCATGTCCTTTGGGTTTTTTGTGTTCTTAGCTCTTGTGTTAGTTCAGTAGGAGTAAAACTTGCCTGGTTTTTTTGAAAGGTTGGACACTAATTTAGTATTTACCCAGTGCTGCTTACGCTTCATAAAACCATTAAACAGGGTTTTTTCTTGCTGTTGTAAAGAATAGAAATAATGTTTTTCTCCTTCTGCCCACTTCTTCACAAACTATCTAGTGACAACCTGAGTGTCTTCTCTTCCCACAGATGTCATCTGGGTGATCCTCAGCGTGGAAGTTGGAGGACTTCTAGGTGTAACACAGCAGCTGTCGTCCTTCGAAACGGAGTTCAACACGCAGCCACATCGCAAGGTAGAAGGAAACTTTAACCCATTCGCCTCTCCACAGAAGAACAGGCAACCAGATGAAAACAACCTAAAAGACCCTGGGGGTTCCGAGCTAGGCACAATCAGCAAAAACACATGGGGGCCTGCTCCTGACCAAATCGAACAAGATCAGAATGGACTGTCACAAAACTCTGTAAATCTCTCCCCCAGCAGTCACTCGAACAACTTGTCGGTAGTGACGTACAGTAAGGTAGGTGCCCTGGGAGAACAGGAGAAGGGGTAGGTGAGGAGACTGGGATGTGTGTAATAGCTCTTCGTTACAAACTGCAAAGCCCTTCCCTTCTGCTTCTGCCAGACCTGCTAAGGAAGGTTTTGAATTTGACTGTCTGACTCTGCCAACTCCTCATGTTATATTAAATATTATTTTTTTTTGCCTCTGATAGACTCTTCCAGATCCACCTTTTTATTTTTTTGGCTTTTGCTTCAAGTCCTTCTGAAAACTTATATAATCTTGTCTGGGTGCTGTAACTGTTAGTGGCTGGAGCCTGCTCCAGTTGCGTGTGCAAATAAGTCAAAATATCTCTCTAGATGTGCTCCTGAGTTTTACATAATTTTGAAAAGAGGAAAAGTAATAGCCACACTCCTAAACCCTAAGATGAACCAGAGAACTTCCTTTTAGTTGGTGTGAGGAGACTTCAGAGCTCAACATTTTGATCCCAGAAGCTACCTGTCAGGAACAGTCAATCAAAGGACTATTCCTGTCTGTGTCCTTGTCTTGTTTATAATTGTAGGTGACTTTTAAATTATCTTTACTTTAAGTCTTTCTCAAAAGCTTGCTTGGTGGATGCTATAAGAGTCTGAGTGATATTTTGACTGTTTTTATTTGCTTGTGTGTGAAAAATGACTTGCAGGATTATTTACAATTCAGAATCCACCTGTTAATGCAGCCAGTATGTGTAGGTGTTTACTGTCGTTTGTCAAACTAGTTCTGATTTTTAAAATCCTTTACAAATGTTTCACTGTACTTTAATCAGGCTGTGTAGGACAATAACACTTGGTTGCTGAATGACTTAATAAAGCCCTAATGTTAGTTCACCTACAGCACTTTAGTTCCTAACTGGATGAACTGCCTGTCTTCTACCAGTGGATCATATTTTAGTGACCTGCTTTGCACCAGGGCTATGCATTTATTTTTTTTTTCCTGGTGGCATGCACAGGGTTAACTGTTTGGCAGATTTCACATCACCCTTTTTGTTTTGCACCCAAACCCATCAGTTGCTGTAAAGCTGCATTGGCTCCTGCTTCAGGATTCTTGCTCACTAGAAGTGAAATGGATGGCTTAGGATATGATTTAAAAATATAAATAAAGCCTTTCACCTCTCAGTTCAAATACAACCTGAATTAGCAGTGACTGAAAGCCACAGCCTTTCGGTGGGTGTGTGGTGGGTAGGGGTGTTCTCTGAGGAGAAGAGCCATTGTCTGACTGCAGAGAACATCCCTGGGCTGGTGGAGCTTCTCTGCAGCAGCTTCATCTAGGGTGCTTCAGGTGGGGAGTACAGCCCTGCAGCTGTGTTGGTATCCCAGCAGCTCTGTGGATCAGCTGCTCAACAAGAAAAATTAGTAACTCCAACTTTGAGACAGTGGACTTAGCTATAAAAGGCTTATTAGCTAAAATACCTAGGTTTGACCTAAGTAGGAAAACTCAATGACAGCTTTTAGTGGCCAGCTTTAGCATGTTTTCTGAGTGCAGAGCTTGGCAGTTGCTTTGTGGTTGATGTGGATAGATGTGGAGCTGCTTAGACATGCACTGCTGAAAATTCCTGCATAAAAATTCTGGATGTGGGGTTTTGGCAGTGATGTGGCCTTCAGTGTTCACCAGGTCGTCTCTCCCTGTGTTATCTATCCCTACCCTTCCTAGTGATAGGAGAGGGGTGTGGGCACCAGGAGGTGCAATGTACCAATGGACTCTTGGCTGAGGAGCAGATGCTTGTGTCTTTTCTGAGAATGTAGGTGTAAGAAACCAAGAAACCTGTTGGAGGTGCAGAGAACCTAGCAAAGGTCAGCTGTACTGGTGAAAGAAAAGCCAAAAAGGAGAGTGAAGCACTATCAGGGAGGACCTTGCTAGATTCCAGTCAGCTGGTTTAGCTAGTTACCCAGAGATACAAAATCAGTACTCTTACAAGGTGTTAGAATCTAACCTCAGATCTAGGGTAAGTGGCTTTTTTCTCCTGTTACTGATTTGTTATGGGGTTTTTTTGTTCCTTTTTGTATTTGCTGATTATTCTTGGGTGGGTTTGAGGTGGATTACCTAAGATAAAAGCAGAAACTCTGTTGCTTGCTTCAGAAGGGGTATCTTTATGGTCCTTTTTGGAGATGGAGTTGGGGATGTGAAAGTCCATTGGTTGTGGATTTTTTTGAGTTGTTGTTTTGTTTTTTTTTTTCCTCTACTACAGTGTTTCTATTTGTGACCTAATAAAACAAGTTAGCTTTTCCTTTGGATGTTGTTCTTGAGGTAGATCTGAAGATCAGAGTTTTGTTCCAGCCTTGTCCAGGGCAGGAGTCTCTCTGCTACAGAATTAATATTCACAGTGGTACAACACTGTTTCTGTAGTGAACAAATCTGGGTGGGGTTTGACCTCCCTAGATGCTTGGTCTTGTTTTAAATCACCAGGTGAACATGCTGACCTTCCCTGCTTTAGCTCTAGCACTATCACATCCCTTCTTTCTGCCATCTGGAAAAGAAGATTCTAATTTCTTTTTTAAAAGGGGTAAGAGGTAATTCCTTAAGAGGAAAAGGGCTTATTGGAGGTAATGTCAGAGGTATTAAACCACTTGATCAGCAGATGGTGTTCCAGTACCTGTTAGGAAAAGCTATATCTGGCCCATCTTCCCCACTTCCCTGGGGACTTGACCTGAACTCTGCTGCTTCAGAGTGGGAAAAGAAAACAGCAACATTTGGAGCTGTTGTCTTGTGATTGAATATTGATGTGAAAGGCTTTATTTCAAGTTCTAGATGCAGACAAAAGAGCACTGTGGGTTGGTTACTCAGTTGCACATGAGGATTCCTGGATTTTATTTATCTTGGGCTGAACATGTAATATTTTTGTCTGCTTTCTTCACGTATGTGGAGAGTGGAGTGAATCCCTCACCATGTTTCTCACCCTGGTTGGTGAGATACAGCAATGGGTAAGGTCTAGTTAAGGTGTTCAAGACCTGTGTCCCAGATTTAGGATAATATAAGCCCTTAGATATTTCTCAGATCACTGGGGAGGCTTCCTCTCTGACTATGGAGAAACTCAGGCATCCAGCTGCACAAGATCATCAGATCTTTGAGGTAAAACCAGCAGTTCTGGCATCTGCAGCTCTAAAGCATACTAGAAGTTGCCAGATCTTGTCTCTGTTACTTCTCCCTCTGGTGCAACTGAGCAGGTGTGACTTGTCCTCTTAAAATTCCCCACAGGAGTTAGGATCTCAGTGACACTGACTTGCCATCTGCTGCTGGATTAGACAATAGATCAATGTCTCATGAGTGGAAACATTCAAAATGCTTTTATACAGCAGTGTAGAGTGACTGGTTTATATGCTCTGGTCAGTGAAACAAACCTTCCTTGGAACAAAAACCAAAACAAACAAGATGCTGAATTCTCTCTAAGCAGATAAGATGAAACCTGTGATGTGGTTGAAACAAACTAATTGTGATCTTTTTTTCCTGCTATAGTGTCTCCCTTCCCTGGGCCCACCCTGCTCACCTCAGACAACCTGCTGGAAGGTTGGAGCTTAGGGTCTGTGGTCAGGGCACTGCTTTAAGCATGTTGTTGTCATATCTATTCCCAGTGGAGTTTTTGCATGTTCTTAGCATTGAAGATGTGCTTAAGTGCAGGACAGGATGTTAATCTCAGGATAGGGATGAGCTGTATTAGTCCAGATATACCCATGCATGGGTATTTTATTCTCCCCTCTCTTTGTATTCCTGAGAGAGATGAGGCTGATACAGCTTCTTTCTATGGACTGGCTCCTGTCTCATAGCAACCCTGTTGAGGTCACTTGCTGCTCTCTTGTGACAGTCTTTTACATTAAAAGCACAAGATGCAGCCTTACAGTGCCTGGGGAATTACATTTCTTAACTAAGGAAAGAAACAGGTTTAAATGTCTAAAAAGTTCTGAAGTGGATAGCCATATACTGACATTCAGATTGTACTTATCACCTATATATATATTAAAGATGTGTATATATAAACCTGTTGCCTGTATGAATGGAGACATTGCTGCTTTCTGTGTAATGCAGAAAACTGCATGAAGAAGTTGTGATTCTGCAAAGATTTGCCCATACAGAACAATTTGCATACTCACCACCACAGCAAAGGGTGTTCTGTAGCTTGCCTGGTGTTAATTGGTTCTGTTAATGAGTCATGCTACTCTTCAGATATGCTTGTATTTCATTGGGCTCTTGAGTTCACAAAATGAAAAACTTAACACCTGTTTTCCTGCTTATTTATTCTCCCCATCTGACCTCCCTCTGTGTGGAGTCAAACTCTGATCTGTACTACTTGACAGCTTCTTATACCCAAGTGGAAACCAACCCTCTCTGTCCTTAGAGCCTTTAACTGGCTTCCCCTCTCGTGAGTGTAAAAGTTGCTGCGGCTTCTGCATCTCTGCATTTTCCAGACCTGGGCACGCCAATCTGCATAATTTTGGGGTACCTCTGTAAACTTTAGGCAGATTTTTTTTCCCACTGGAAGCTATTTGGGTACCAAACTGTATTTGAGAGTAAGGAAGATGTCCCAGAAATGTTTGCATCCACGTAAAAGAGAATCTCCTTCCATCTTGATATCTGGCCTTCAAACTGGGCTCGTTACCACATGGTTAAATGAACTTAGAACAAAGTGGGGGAATGTTGGCTCAAAACTACCATAGCTGCTCTGACAGCCATACTGCACAGCATCTGTAGGCTAAACTGGTGCTGCATGAGCTGGTTGGCTTCTCTGGTGAAAGAAGGTGTTTGGATGCTGCATGTTAGCTCATCCATAAAGTCCATGTGCTTTTGGACTGTGGGAAATGAGATAATTTGATCTTAGCTTAACTTTGCTCCATTGGAGGCCAACAGAGTTTCCCTGTTCTCTTATCTCAGCAGACTAAAAGCAGCCATTGATTAAGTTACAAGAGCCAAGTTGTTGCATGGTAACTTAATCATGTACTTGAGCCCTCATGTACTTCAGCTGTGTGCATCTAAACCAGCCCTGCCGGTGGCTGCACTGTGAGAAGGTTCTTCACTTCCTGGTGGTCTTAACTGCCAGGCCATGTTTGCACAGCATGCATGGAATAAAGAAAAAAAAGCAACAGTGCTCAAGACTTTGTTCCTGTTTGTGTTCAGTTTACGTCAGTCAGTCGAGAGAGACATGTGGGCCAGGAGGGGCCGAGGAGATGGGGACTTGTAGGGTGGCCTGGTGCTGCTGGGGGTGTGTGCACTGGGAGGGAGACTCCTCTAGTGCTTGGCAGCTGTGCATCAGAAACTCCTGTCTCTCTGGATGTGTATCTTTTCTTGGTCTTGCCTCAGTTGCAAAGGTGAAATAAAGATAGCTCTCTGAAAGCCTGTGTGGTGATGGTTTCTGAAGATTAACTTGATTTTGCTCCTGGCACAGGTGCGTTCATTTAAAGAGCTCAGGGGGCTTTAACTTTCCAAAGCATCTCAATTCCCTTTCTAGCTATAAATGGTGATTTATACTAATATTTTTCATGCAGAGTCTTGAAAAACATGAGCCTCTGTTCTGATGTCCTTATCTGTATGAACAGCCAGTATCCTTTCATGAGCAACTTAGCAATTACTTCTGTGGAAGATACTGGAAGAACTGAGAGTAAATCTGCAAAGCTGCAGCTGAGCTTCTCATAAAGACAGTGATCTCATCTTGAGAATAGGGGGGAATTCACCAAAAATAAGTGTGAATAATTATTCAGTTGAAATAAGTCCCAAACTGCAGTTGTATGCAGAATTATTTTTGCATGTCTGTGATGTAAAATACTGCACACAAGGGGTAATTATTCTTAGAAATGTCACATAATGGAGTTTGGTGTTTGCACTGCAGCAGTAATTGAAGTTTTCAGGTATCAAGGTGCTACTATATGGCATGTTGGATAAATGTAGTGAGAAGCAATTGCTCTGTAGAGGCATCTTGCTGAGGAAAAAAGAGGAATGTATTTCACAAAGGGTAGTAAGAGTTTCTTGCTCAAGGTCTGATGTTAAACCAAGACTGCACTTGATCTGAATTGAAAGAAACAAGTGGGGCTTCATTCTTTTAAGTTCTCATGTACACTGATCATATGGGTAAGTGAAATGCAGCAAAGAGGGACAAGCCCAAAAGCAAAGATCTGGGTTTTTTTTGTGGTGAAATCCATTGCATCAGGAGAAGCTTCACCTTGGTCACAGATTGTGAGGCTGTCTGTGGAATTGCTTCTGGAAGAAGCTCATCTAGGCATGTCAGGCTGTTGGGGCAGTGCAGCAAGTGGTACTTAGAAATCTGACACTCTGAAGGTGAGCTAAATTCTGGTTTTAATTAACACACAATTACCATAATTGTGTAGCTTTGAATGAGATGCTACAGAAAGCAGCATCTGAAGATCCAGAGGGTTTCCCTGAAAAACAAGGTTAATAACTTCTTCACAGGGTCTCTCTCTGCATACAAAAAGACTAATGAACTGTTCTCATGGCTGACTTAAGCTGAAGACTCTGGGCTGTGGGCTGATTAATTGTGTTAATTCTCTTATGTCACGGAGTGCTGCAGATATCTGGGCTTGCAGCAAATTACATCGACGAGGTTTTGCTGTGACCAAGTGTAAAATCAAACCCATCCGAGGTTGGGCTGTGCAGGCAGGTGCCCCCAGCAGAGGGAGCAGGAAGCTGAGAGCAGTGGATATTTAAAGCACTCTCAGGAGGCTTGTGAGTGCTTGTCAGGCAGTATCTGCAAACAGAGCCTTGTGTGCAGGTAACTCGAAGCAGATTCTGGTAAATGTGTTTGTCCAGGTAATCAGCAACAAGCCCCATTTTTCTTCTGTGGAGTGATAAGAGGAATAGCTCACTCTGAAGTGAGACTGCTCAGGACCTTGCTTTTAATACTGTTTTCTTTCTGTATCCTTTGGGAGTCTTGTACACCTCATTTTTCAGTGTTTCTCTTGCCCTTCCCCCTATTTCAGTGACTGTATTTTTTGGAAATCTTGACTATCTCAGTCTCTTGATTTTTGGTGGGAGCTTCTCCTTTCTGAGGTGTGAACCATTGTGCTGGAATCTGCTGGGTTTGTCATCTTTTGAAAAGCTTGCTTTGCAAACTGGGAGTGCAGCATATTCCTAGGGTAGAAGTGTTTGTTTTTCCATCCCTTGTGTGTGTTCCTGTCTGCAAACAACTTTTTCCAAGTTTCCAGCCTTCCATCCTTCCCACACAGTTCATGAGATGTCCTGTTTGATTGTCTGCTAATCCTCCTCTCTTGGTTGAATTTTGAGAGCTGCTGACAGATGCTTCATTTTACCATTGGCTTGTATTTTGCCACCTGATACATCCTAAAGAGCTGCCTTTTTCCTGCCAGCTGTGGGGGGATTGTGGCTTCTTGGAGCACTTCTCTTAGAACATAGAAACTCAACAGAGCTCTGGAACTGGGACTTTGGCAACTGGGCTTAAACTATCAAGGTTGATCCTTTCTTTATACAAGTCACGTTAAAGACTCATTGCTTCATGGCTCTGTTACATAGAGGTTGCTAGAGTTGTAGGAAAACATGCAGGAAATTGTTTCCTTTGAGATTTACCCTGTTAAAGGCAAAATGGGGAAAAATGAAGTCAGAGCTTCCCTTACAGATTGAGAGTGGTTTGTTTGGGCTTTTGGGTGTCTTACTCACCAACCTGCTGGAAAGAAGGTGGACTGTTTAAAAAAGCATTTGCATAATGGGCTTTGAACTTGAACAAAGAAATAGAATGAGCTTTTCTCCTTCATCTCACTTCTGACCTGAGTAGGTGTCTGGATCTTATGGGAGGATTTGGTGTGTGGTTTGTACTCTCATCATTATGACAAACTTCATATCCCTCTGACTCGGAAGGTCTCTTCCCTGCCTGGTACTTGCTTTTGCTTCCTGATTAAACCCTGGATAGTTGATTTGAACAATAGAAATGACAGAAAGGAGTTCCTGTTAATTTGAGACCTGTTACTAGATCTGTCACTTAGTGACTCACTTCAGGATGTAAAGGAGGGAGAATGGGCTCTGGAGTAACAATTTTGTTATTTTGGTTAAATGTTGTGGTCGATTTTCACTTGAGGAAAATGTGTATTGTTATCTTGAGAGAGCAAGAGTGGAAGTTGTGGGGATGTGGATTTCCAAGCCTTGATTATTTTTAAAAATAAAACTCTTCTACCAGTGACAGCTTCTTCAGTGTTTGCTGCAGCCTCTAGAGTAGACTGTAATGCTGCAGTTACTTGGCCTCACAGATACTGTAGATCTACAGGGGATTTTTGCTCTTGTGTGAAAAATACCAGTGATTTTGTAGCCTGGTAACACCTGGCTATTACCTGGCCTAAATCATAACACCTGAAAGAGGTAAGTGACATCTGACATATGGGAACAGCAGCTCCAAGAACTGAAACCTGCACTTCAGGAGTGTTTGATAAGGCTGGACAGCAAAGGTCCCATTGGTGGGTGAAGGGTTGTGTTTGGTTTAGAAGTTCTGGGCTGGTCAGTAGTTGTTGGTTTGCGCTGATCCGTTTGATTTCTTGCCTTGAAATTGATTATGTCTCCAACTTTCTTGCAGGGTTTCCACGGTCCTTATCCCTTCGGACAGTCTTAAAACACACAAAACACAAAACGGGTATCGACAAGAGGAGAATTTAACAAAGAACTGACTTTGGGGGAAGGGAGGGGGATTCGTGTGGCAGACACAACGTGGATCCCCCCTTCCCTGCCTCCGCGTTGTGGATAAAGAAGAAAAAACAAAAGCCCAGTAACTTAAGACTTAGCTGTTTCCAGAGGAAAAATACAAAAATCTAAGTATGCATGTGTGAATGCTGGATTTCAGGAGTGTTGTTAAATGCTATGAGAAAGAAAATATACCAACACCATGGGTTTGTTGTTTTTTTGGGGTTTTTTTTTAGAAATCATTCTCACAGATAATTAGGTAGCTTGAAGAGAAGTTTAAAAATGAAAAAGCCATCTTTAAAAAAATATTTTGCCTACAGAGCGGTTGTAGTTTGAGCAAATGTTTAATTTCTGTTTGTTTCTTGTTCCTATATTTTTTTTAAAGAAGGGACAGCGTGCATTTTTATGGAACTGTCAAGTTTTGCTTGCTAGGAATGGGAATTTGCTTAGCATCTTCTGGGGTTTGTGCAGTGACTTCTTTTTTTGTCAGCCATTTTTTTAAGGACAGGTTGGGCCTGTACCCAGCTCTGCATTTTTAATATCTGCTGGTTTTAGTTAGCAGCTTTTTAATCTTTTCTTTCTTTCTATTTTTCCCTTTTGGTTTGGGTGTTGCTGTTAGTTGTCCTGCAGGTCACTGGAAACCATGCTTGAAGACCAGGTCTCAAAAGTTGGGAGAGAGAGAAAGAGAGACTCTGGGACTTGTAGGATAACATGGAAGGCTCATTTCCCTTCCCCTTGTACATGAAATACAGACAAATAGACACCCATATCAATAAGAAACAGATTAATTAAAGTTCCAGAGCTGTCTGTGTGGTTAGCATTTTAAAGTACCTTTTTGTTAACTCTTGATGTACAGTAGCTGCGCCTAGAGCAGCCAAGCAAGCGTATCAGTTGTGTGCCAAGAGGAACCTCTCTTTCTGTAGCTGTAATTCACTTGGTAGTAGTTGCAAAGCTTTGTGGAAGTCATGTCCTTGGAATTTTGAATCTCCCATCTCTTCCAGAGTATAAGTTTGCATTCATTTCTCCTGTGATGAGGTATTAGTTTTGGGGCTGATTGTTTGTTTTTTGAATGCAGAGCAAGAGTTACCATTGTCAGCTGGATTCTGCTGTTGCCTTGTACTCATTGGCCTTTATTGCCCTGGCTTGTAGGTTTCTTGAGGCTCTTTCCTTCTAAACAGGCTCTCCAGGGCTTGGTCTTGAGAGGAGGAATCACTGCTGTACAGATTCGTGTTGCTTTGCTGTTCCTCCAGTGTGTTTTTCCTCTAGTTAGGGCCTGGGAAGCCCAGTGTGAGGGGAAAGAGAATAGCCCCAAGTGCTGTGGTGGGTTTCTGAAGTGCTGTGTCACCACAGATGCTTCTGAAGGGGAGTGAGGTGATGGGACACTGATTCAGAAATGTGAACAAGGCTCAACAGCCATCTGCCAAAGCTACAGTCACATGCAAATCTCCCACTACCTTCTTCCAGATCTTTCCAGTGAAGACTCTTGTCCTCCTTGTGTGAGCAGAGCACAGGCTTGTTGCATGGCATGTGGCTTTACACTGATTACTCTTGGCTAGTTGTATTTTCATGGCTGGTTTTCAATGGGGGATTCATTTTCCTTGCAGCCACCAAGGACTCTCTTAGCTTAGTGCACACAGGTAGATCTTGTGGAGGACTGGGAGTTCCTTGTATCCAACAGAGGAAGAGAGTTTGTATTTCAGAGGTTCAGTTTTTAAAGGTCATTGTTAGCTGAAGTCTCCCTTCAAAAATCTGCTTGCTTGGAGAAACAAATACAGCCTAAGAAATTGTTTGCATAAAAGAGGCAGTTGCAGGGGTTGAATTGCTGGCCACGTGCAGCTTGGGGAGCACCTGGGTCTTTCTGGGCACCTCCCTAGAGCTGGGTGAGGGCTGAGATCCAGAGTGAACCCCTGGAAGGTGGTGCTGCCCTGCACAGTGCAGCTCCAGGGTTTGGTTCCTGTCCTGTAACATCATTTTGCCCTTGGTTAGTTACCTCCTCTTAGCATCCAGCCTAGGGGGTGGTTTACATCACTGCAGGGCAGATGTGGGCAAGTGGGCTCTTTTTTTTGCTCCCTCCTCTCCAATCAGGTGGCTTGTGTGACCAGCTCTGAAGGCACAAGCACCTCCGTGCCCATCACACCTCTTGCACTGCAGCTGCTTCCCTTCTGAAGGCATCTAAACATTGCAGTCTGCTGTTTGTCCAAGTAACAAGGTGATTTCTTATCTTTATGAGCTCCTTTTATCAACTGTGTAGTGGAAGGGAGGAAAAAATCGGAAGATCTGAGTTTGTCTCTTACAGCTGGTGCTGCAACCTTTGCCTTTTTCAGCTGAGGCATCTAGGAGACCCTTGAATTTAAGTACCCCCATGTTGGCTTTCCTCTGCTCCCAGCCCTGTGCTCCTTCCGTGTCTAATGGCTGCCACATTCGTGTTCCTGTGCTTCTCCTGAGACTGAATTTTCCTTTTCTTGCAGAAAAAAAACAAAACAAAAAAACACCCCAACTTGCATGCACCCCAAGTAGTCGTGTGCTTTCCCACTCAGAAGGCATTCTTGTTCTGCACACACCTGGATTCTCTGGAGTGTTTTCAGTCTGTGGTGTCCTTGTCACAAGGGTCACTTACTCCAGGGTGTGAAGAAAGGCAGGGTCAGACCCAAGTTGCTGCTGAAATCTGCAACCTCTTGCTGCTCACTTCACTGCTCTTCCCCAGGTGCCTGTGAGCACTCTTGTCTGCAGAAATGATCTCTCTACAAATAATGCTGCAGAGCTCAGGGTGCTTGGAGGGTCAGGGCTGTAGCCCTGGCTGAGATGGAGGGATATTTTAATTAGTGGTTGCTCTACCTCTGGGTTTTTCCTTGTGTAAAAACTGTTTTGCTGAGGCTAAAGGTGGTTTTATCTCCTTGGGTTCCTTAGAGTTCAGTGGTACAACCAGCCCTCAAATGGCTCCTGCTGCCAAGTTTCCAGCTTTTAAGTAGGAGGGTTTGAGGTGTCTTCAGCAAAGCTGCTTCCAGGGGACTTCAGGGCACTTGGTTGTGTTGGTTCCTGTAGGGTTGGTGCAGTTCAACTTGCAGTCTTAACATCAGATCCAGAAACAAATGACCAGATTTTTTCAGAGGTGCTGAATGCCAAATATTTTGGTGAGCCTGAAGTGTGGGCAGTGACTCAGGTGACCCCATCCAGGTGAGTTGTGCACCCAGAACTCAAGCCTGTTAGGAATGGGAGGAGATCCCTTACAGGTGAACCAGAGAAGAGTCTGTTATCCCAGTGGGGCTGGTACCTGCTGGGACAGGAGGGTGCCGTGACAGAGGTTGCAACTGGCTCCAGGCTCTGCTGAACAACTGTCTGTCTTGAAGTCCTGAGAAGGAGGGAGGGGAGATCATCTTTACCCCCAAACCTTCCCAAAAGAAAGAGATTGCTGAACATCTCTGATGGGCTCCAAAATGGATCCCTGTGGCAAGTGGGAGCCACTTAGGAGGTAGAACCATATCACTAATCCAGTCAGCCCAGGCACCCTCTCTCAGCCTGGGCAAACTGGAGCACAATATCCCTTGGACCAGCCCAAAACTGGCACGTGAGGCGATGGAGGGAGCTGGAATCTGCTGCCCACATCTCAGGAGAGTTGGATTCTGCCCCTCCAGGGTTTGGAAAGGGGCAAACAAAGCAGAGGGCAGGTGGGCAGGAGAGCAGCCAGAGGCTGCAGGGTTAGGAAATGCACGCTGTCCCACCTCTGGGTTTCTGTTGTGTGTTTTAATTTTTTTTCATGTGTGAGTGTGTGGGTGGTTCTGCAGCCTGTCTGTTCCCCGGGGGGAGTGCATGTGTAGAACAGGATGGTGTGTTGCCTCATGGAGTCTGGGAGAAGTCCTATGATAGCACATTGGGGGTTAAATAAAGGAAGCTTTTTTCCTTAATGTATAAATGAATATTTGTATGATTAAATTAACACAGAAAAAAAAATATAATTCTGTAGCTGAGTTTTATTGAAGCTGTAAAAAATTCTGTCATCTGGTAGCTAAATGGCCCCAGCTTGTTGCTCTCTCCAGGGTGTTCCCTTAGGAGCTGGATCCCTACACCCAGGTCTTCATTCTTAAAAACAAAAGACAAAAAACAAAACAGCAACCAAAAAAAACCACACCACAAAAAAAAACTCAACCCAAAATTAATTCAAAGCTCATTAAGTTTATCAAAGCACCTTTCCCGTCTGGGTGGGTACAAGGATGGCTGAGAGGCCTGAGTGGGTTATTTGTTTGTGTGGACAGTGATGGGGAGGGCAGGTATGAAGAATAACTGGGGCTCTTCCCTCAGCATCCCTTTCTGGAAGAGGATTCCCCCAGGATGTCCCTTGTTACAAGGGCAGGTAATGTCACCACAGTGATGCTGTGTTCTCCTGCACCAGCCCTCAGCACTGGGGAGGGGTGGAGGGGATGGAGAGGAGCACCAGTTCAGCACCAGCTCAGGAGGAGCTGCTGGCTCCTTCCAGCTGTGCCAGGGACTGGAGCAGGAGAGGGAGGCAGCACCAGGAGGAGTGAAGTCCAGGTTTAGTGGTCACCACAGGGTCACCAGCACAAAGTGATGCTGCAGGTGGGTCTCTGAATGCTCCTTGCATGTGTTATTTACATCCCAGCACTTCACCCAGAGCCTTGGTGCTGCTCCAGCCTCTGACCAGCAACAGGCCTGACCTGCTGGTGCACGAGTCTCCTGGGGAGGCATTTTCAATGAAGGATGTTTGCTTATATTTTTCCCCTTTACTATCACTAAAGCAATACATGGGGCTCTGGTGCAGCAGGATGGGGCAGAGGAAGGTCTCTGCTGTGGTGGGCACTTGTGTGGTCATCCTGGGCTGTTCTTATTTCCCAGGAAGGCCTTGATACTCGGGGCACCCAGCCTGAACATTTGCCTATATAAACTACCTGGTGGAGCAGCTCAGCTGAAGCTCTTCTGCTCACATGGGACTTTGTTGCTAATCCTCCCG